GTTTCTTTCAAGAATTGGGATTAATTTTTTATTTCCTTCATGTCATTCATATTCTTTTTAATATATATGCACAATGTATATATATACATGGAGGGATACACTCCGAACAAGAGAAGTTTTCAAAAGTAAAGAAACAAAGAAAAAGTAAAGAGAGGCAGATTCTTTTAAGGCTGTCTAGGAAACAACATTCATCATCCAATTTCATCAATTCAAAGCTTCAAATTAAGGTAGGTAGAAGTATAAGTGGTTATTTCGTTTTCACCTATAAATTTTCGTTGAAATATGAATGAATTGGTGTCTTCGGGCATGTTACTTCAGCACTACTATAGTTGGAATGATCATTCTCCAGTTTTACATGTTATGATAATTCTATGGAAATTAAATTTTGCTGGAAATCCATCTACGTGCGATAGTATGAATCTAGAGTTCGAATTTTCTAATTTGATAACAAAATGCAACAATGACATCTATTGAGTTTCAAACTCATGAATTAATTCTTTTCCTACAGAAAAAAAAATGTATTTTATAATCCCAAGACCCTTATTTTAGATTGAATGATTCATGTATACTGAATCTTAAAAAAGCAATCCTCTAATTGTTGTATGAAGATAGGTATTTATAGAGGAGAGCTGCAACATTGCCAGGGCCCAAAGTATGCCCTAATTGCTTTCTAAATAAAAGTTGATTTAAATTAGGAATCAAATTTTCGCAGCCGTTTAACCCTCCTGTGCAGTCTCAAAGTTTTACTGTTTGCAATCGCACATGCATACCATTTTGCTCTCTTGAAATTTATTTCCATGCCCCGCGCCCGCACCGCCCCGTCTAAGGAGTGCCCCGCCCCGAACCCGCCCCGTTGCCATCCCTACAAAAATTTATAAGTTTCTTTTGAATGCTCTATTAATTTTTCTAATTGATCACATGCACTTCGCTTAATATTCAATTTGCTACAAATCAGCCCCAAATAAGCTTCCAAATTCATTTTTCACGCCAATTATATCCAAATATGAATTTTATACAATTAACATATCTAACACTAAATTAGAGCATGTTTGGTAAGACTTAAAATCCAATTAAAATTGAAAATATAACTTTTATTGGTTCTCACTCGTCTAATAAAAGTCAACAATAACGACTAGTTTTTCAATTTTAATCCGATTTTAATCTCTACCGAACACGCCTTAAATATCTGCTCAATTATTAACAAGCAAGTATAGAAGTCCAAATAAGTCTATAAAATGCACTTATCACTCCGTTTTATCCTTAATTTAACAAGTTATTTCATTTAAACAATCTCAGGTATTTATCCTCACATCAAAAAGCGAAAAAGAAAGAAAAGTAAATCACAATTTGATGAAGCATCATATATAGGTCAATACCTAAAGAGCTGTCCAGCAAGTGTGTCAGCCCTACACTTGACAAATAGGCCTATAACTTGTTCACTTATTATCATGTTGCTTTCAGCTGGAACCATATTCCAACATCTCCCAACTGAATGGACGGAACACATACAGAACTTGGGGCGAGCTTTTGAAAAGAAGGGCTACACAAACACATACAGCCGCTATGGCCACCATTGAGAGCATTGCAGGCTTATAAAGCAGAGTTCGACTGCTACTTCTGCAAACCAATTCCTGATCACAAATCCCACAGGGCTGCTGAATTGAACTTATTTTGGACACTCCAATCTCAAAACCAGTAGTGCTCCCTCCATTTTTCTTCTGGTTGACACTGCTATCTGAACCAGTCTCAGAAATGTCAACTACATGCCCAGGAGATACTTTCTTGGTCATTTTCCTCTGAACAAGGTGTATGTAAGAGTAGTGTCCTCTCAACCGAGCATAATCCTCAGGTGTGAATCCTGTGCTGTCATGGGCATTCTTCCATGCTTCAATTCCCACCTGAATTAGCCATATGAGCATTTTTTTTAAATCATTGAATACACTAAATAGATCTCATTTAACTACAAGTCTAGAATAGCAAAAGTAGGCAAGTCTTAGTTCATTCATATAACTGATGATCAAGTTTTCAAAGGCCTGGTTGCCACAATTAATTTGCAAAACTTATCAAAAGGATGTGCAAGCAAAGACGAGGCCTCCTAAGATGTGGCATATGCAAATGAAATGATTATATTTATGCTCTTCAAGCTTTAACATTAGAATTGGGTGGAGGAAAATGATTACCTTTCCGGGATCACAAGTCAAGGCATCCAATATATCCTCAGATCCATCCCTACCAGCCGCAATATGAAGAGGTGTCAGACCTGCAGGCCCCACAACATCAGGTCTAAACAAGAAACTCCCGTCACTCTCAGCAAGGGAGTTGTATTCCAAACTTAGTTCATCCGCTACTCTTTCCGGGGAATATTTTAATAGCATCTCCACCAGAGCTCTAGAATTTCTACGCACAGCTCGGTGAAGGAGACCCATCTCATATAGCGCAAACTTCAAGAATGGCTGCTCTCCAGCACCCACTGTTCCATTGAAAAGAATGTCAAGAAGTTTGTTTAAAACAGCACACCAATTACGGTCAACGGAGAACGCCACAAGGTACTTGAACCGTTTAAAAGGAAAACGGTCTGAGTTAGGATCTGAGTGCCCCAATCTGGACTTCAAATTATTTCTATGGAGAAGCCAACCCATTTCATGTATGAAATTCGTGACTTGGTTTCGTGCTTCTAATTTCCCAGTTTCTAGCTGGAAATCATCCGTCTCAGTCAACTCTATTTCTCTTTCAAGCATACACATCTCAGAGCAAACATCATCCTCAGCAACTATGAAAGGAAAGAAGCTGCTGCCAAGACAATGATCTTCAACCTTGATAAATTTAGGAAAATTGTAGATGTTAGCTAGTGGAAGATTTTCAATGAACTTCTGAATTAGGAAGCAATACACGTATATGTGGTGAACAAAACTATAGAACAAAACTACAGAATTAGCCTTAACTGTTACACTTTATAACACACTTTCTTGGTAACTTCTTACCAATATTCCCAAATTTGACGTGTTATAGACAATGTTCAATGTGCTAACCCTTTAAGTGTGTTGATGGATCATGATAACACATTCTTACTGCCCTCTGGAAAAAAATCGATAGAGGGTTTTTTGAGGGAGATACAGTTTCCAGGTTGGATTTTTTTGATCAAATAGGACTAGTTGGGTAGATAGAGGTGGTAAAATCTAACCTTTGCATCGATGTTTAGCAGGGCGGGTCGCTTGAGTGTCAAAA